AACAATAACCGCCCTAAAAATTACTCAAATCACATTCACCGCTACGCAATATTGATTTGGTAATTTCCACTTTAAACTTCGGATCAGTTTTTTTTTTCTGTTATAAAATCTCTCTCAAAATCCATCTGCTCCTTTACAAGTTACCAATTATTCTCGATATGGTAGTCTCTTTAATTACTGACAGACAGGACACACGGGAGGTGTGTTTAACCGAAAAAGAAACAACAGTCTCCAGATGTCGGCATTTTGCTTTTGGAGTGGCCGACATCTACGCTCGTAAATCACGCGTATGGCCGAGGCTTTACCGGCTGCTCGCGGCCTGCTCTCTGGTATATCACGCCCGGCTCAGTTCAGTCCCGTCCTGTGGCGCGAGACATTTTTAACTGTCGCTTTTCATCGGTTTGTTTTATTTATTGAGGCGCTGTGGTCGGAGGGGCTTGACGGGGTAACGATGGCAAATTGGATTAACACCCCTGTGTATGCGGCTCCTTTGGAAGAATTTAACGGCGTGAAAATGACCCCCAACATGTGACGAGGGAGGTCTGTGAGCTGTTTAGGTGCAACAGTGGACTGAATGGTGCTGAGAACTGCACGTGTCCATTTATTTTGGTTGAGTTGTGAACTTAAACATCTGTGTTTCTGATTTTTTGTTATTTCTGTGATCTTTACTCAAGGATGTCTTTGCGGCATCGAAGATGTAAAACTCTTGGGGAAAAGTTGCAGAGAATTGGGGGGAAAATGGAAAATGTCACCGCTTGTTTGACATCGGAAGAAAGTTGAGAGATCATAAAGAGCTCTCGACGATCTTACTAGGACACAGCGGCATTCCTGACCCGGTACTCATCGGGGCTTCTCTGGCCAAGTGGCCTGCCAATAATCCGCTCGCTCGTCGGGCGAAGTACTACTCCACTGGCACCACCCGCGGACACCTTAATTGAAAGACAAACAAGGAGCCTCTTCCGAACTTGTTGTTTTCTATTACAACGCCACTGGTTCAAAACCAATTTCTCAATTGCGGGGTTTAAGGTATTGTTTGCAAAGGGCATAGCGGAAACAACAGGGGTGCTTCACGATTGACGGAAGTCTCTTTTTTTGGAGGGGGGGGCGGACCGGGCTGTGAAGTTTTGTCGGCTTGACTAAGTTTTGAGAGACTGTCGCTGCGAGACGATGTAGGTAAGTTGTGACGGCATGCCAACAAGAAAACAAGACGCTGGATCCAATTATGAGTCCCACGATCGATTACTTTATTTCCTAAACGACTTTAGAAATTGACGATGCGACAGTTAAGTACCTGCTCGTGCACGGCGATGCCTCTCGGTATTTTTATACAAACTTTTTGGAGCCTCTTCGAAACTATAATAATGGGGCATGCTATGACTAAGACCCTCACCTATGTAATTAAACGTCACAATCAATGAGCCCTTAGTCCGCCAACTATTTCAATCGTCAAATTAAAGTCCATTATGAGTGCGGTATGTACGAATTTATCGATCTACAGTCTACTTGCGCTTACCGTCGATGGCCGCAGTGGCTCAGGTAATAACGCTCACAGGGCGCCCTCACTTTTTGGAAATGGTGCTGACCTTATGGCTCTCCTTCCTCTCAGCTGATTTTTTTCCCTAGGTGCACGTTTGGTTCCAAGTTAAAGTTCCCAGCGAAATCAAATAGTCTGGGGCGGGGTTACATTCCAAGCAGGTTGATGCTACTGCATGGGAAACGGAGGGGATGGATGCGATCAAAGCATCATAGGTCTGAAAGAATAATGGATCGTCGACAGAGACTGAACTTCCAAAATCCATCCCTCCTAAGGGATGTGCCCTGGTTTTTTTGTCTCAACAGTTTCAAATGTCATAAAGATTTGACATTCCTCTATCCTACCAAGCATCGACGTCATTAACCAGTTCCCATTTCTAGTTTTGTTGTTGTTGTTGTTTTGTTTTAATGGCGCTTTCAGCATCTCAGGCTATTTGCGCCAATAACTGTACGTTTATTCATACATTTTATTAATCAGCATCACATTACGGAGTTAGGAAGAAGGTTCAGTTTTAGAGGCAGGAGGAAACCAGAGTACCCGGAGAAAACCTGCGAGAGCGAGTATGGACTGGAAACCAAATGCACTTAAAGCCGGGGGCCAAGCCGGGACTCGAACCCGGGCCTCATTGTTGCAAAGCGAGGAAAGAGCCGCTCCGCTAACCCGCTAAAACCGCTCACCCTCCCATTGCTAGTTTTTACCTTCTGCCTAAAGCTAAAGCACGCGTTCAGAGTACAGTAGGCCTACTTGTCCTCACAGTAAACAATTCCCTGCGTGCAAAACGCGGGGAAAATATCAATCGGTGAAAATGAAGCCATTTTGGGGTGCTACAAAAACAGTAGACGAGCCGACCAGACACGAGGGGCGTAGCCGACGGGGAGAAGAGTTCGATCTGACGGACACCCAACACCGACTGAAACGCGGTCCGTGTCGGACTTGACGTACCCATTCCGCGGGAGCATAGGGGAAACAAAGAACGCAAGCAGGATTCCGAGAAGCTGGCAACCAATCAGCAAGAGGAAAAGATGGGGGAAGAAGGTCGGTCACCTTGGCAAAGGTGTATGGGACGGTTCACCCCGTAAATAGGACAAAGACGTAAAACGCCTAAAAATCTGGCATCTGGTGCAAAAGAGAAACAAGAAGAAATTTTAGGAGCTGATTTGGTCCTGAAGTTCGAAAACTTTTTAAATTAATAATTCGACATGCAGATCCCTCCTTTGTCCGTGGATACGACTTAGTGCCTCCATAGTTCACATGCCAACCCGTAATCATCATGATATGGCCTACAGTTGTTGGTTTTTTTCATGTACTGTGGACATATTGGAATTGGCACGAACGGTTTAGTAATGCAGTCAATGTCAACGTGAATTCTCATGCATGGAGAATACCAAGTTCGCACAGTGCGTCTATACGATGTCAGTTCCCACTAAAGTCTGATTTTCGCAGGTCGATAAAGGAAAGCAAACAAACAAACAAACAAAAAATAAAAAAACTGCATGACATGTCATGCACCGGCTAAACTGAATTTTTGAACATCACTAGCAGTTATGAATTTGAGGCACATTTCTATTTTTTTTCTGAATTGCAACCAAGAGGTATGTTCCGAGTGTTTCGTTTTCAACGTGAATTCTGATTTATAGTTCCGGTTACTCTAGTGATGGAGCGCAATCAGGTTATGGTCAATTAAGATGTGGTGCAATTCCACATTCCCAGCTTCCTCGATATTACCCAATCTTGCAGGACAATTTATTCCTGCCGTCGAACACTGAACTCCACGATCGCATTTTGATATCGCATATGCGACCCTACCGAGGAATCTTTTTTTTTCTCCCAACTGTTTAACAGTTTAAGTTAATCAGAAGTACATGTACCGAACATTTTGGGTCATCCCTAACAAGGGATGACAGATACAAAATGAGACAGGCCGGTGACTGTTTCATGATACGAAAAAAATAACAAAAAGCCAACTTTTGCCGACTTGTAAGTCGGGTTTGCGACAAACAGTGGGCTGGCCCGTTGCAGATCATTACCGAGTTCTAGTCATGGTCTATGAGCAACTTGGGGGGGGGCTGTTAAAGATCTGAATAATTATTTCAATCTGAAAATGCGATGTACGCATGGGCGGATCCATGATTTTTTTTCTGGGGGATTTTGTTCGAACAGGGGGAGGGGGTACTCCATGCAGTGAGCGGGGGGGGGGTGACCCTACCCCACCTCCCTCTTTTTGAAAATGTAGCCTGGTGTCTTAAGTTGTTCCTTTACAGTTCTGAAACCGATTCAAAATCCTAACTGCTCTCCAGAAGGCCTGCATATGAATGAGAGAGAGAGATTCCTTCAGAGAACAGTCACTGATCGCAGCCTCTGAACAAAAAAAAAGTGCAGCAGACACGGCTGGACCACACAGCGAGCAGTAGTCGACCGATGACGGTCACGATATTGTACCTGCAGTAATCTTGACAAATGGAGGGACGGACCTCGTCTCACCCCTCGAGGCATCGCCGGCTGCACGCGGGCCAGCACCGAGGGGTGCACGCTGGAGGGGGGGGGCTCAGGCAGGTAGCAAGACACGGAAGTGGGGAATTTATGGGGCAAAGGGGCTGAATTTATTGGCCGGTTGTTTGGAAGGGGGGGGGAGGAATGTCACACCTGACGTGATGACAGCCGTGGGGACCAAACAGTCTGTCCTAGGGCAGGTGCAAGTCAGGGAGAATGATTTTAAAGCGGCGCTCTGTGCTCCAGCAACATTCTCGAATTCCAGCTTCATTGCATTTCACAAAGTAAAAGAACACACGACGCCAGAATTCTAGAACAGAGAAACGAAAGGGTTGGGTAATCTCCAATTTTGTCAAATGAAAAAGGAAAAAAGGCATCCGTCAAAAGAGAAGTTAAAAGTGAGTTTGCGCATGGCTTGAACTGTGTGAAAGGAACCACAGAGGGCGCAATTCAAGAATTTGGGCCAGGTCAGTACATATTGCTGTGCCTGTTACCCAAGTCCAAAAACACTACATGGACAACGGGGCTCAGATGAAGAGACAAAGGAGCAGGCGCGCAGCTCGGGGGGGGGGGGGTTGTGGCACCTCGAAGAGCACTGTTTTCGTCCCCTTACACCCATTTTCGAATTCACTCTTCCAATTTGGCTCTACCAGCGTCCCTATTTTGTTTGTAAAACCTCCATGCGCCCACCCACCCGGCTCCGCAGCCTCTGCTAGAAGCGACCGGGGGGAGCGACTGAAGGAAGAAAGGGTTGGAGAAATCCAGCTTCAGAATAAACTCGTAATGTTTGCGCTTAACCCAGTCCACGCTTTCACTCCAATTACAAGCAGTATGCAATATACACTATGCTTCAAACCATACTTTCCCCGTCCCCTCATATTTTTGTCACGTACTGTCATTTTCCCCATAAGCTCCTGTTTACGTGTGGTGTGGTCACTTGAACACGACAAAATAATGGAATTCAAAACCGCAGGACGAGACCTAAGCGACCTCTGTCTAAACAGAAAGTACGCAACAAAAGGGGGAACTCCCAAATTTATTAATTTAACCGTAGCAATTGCACTTCTACACCAACTATTAACGAATTGAAACTCCCTGATTTCTCTCCCAAAGGGAAAGCAAGTGTTGCTATAAAATACAAAGTATCTCAGAATTTACCAGGATCATCTCAAATTCGGAATGCATTTTCGTGTTCGTCAAGTTAAAAGAGTGATATTTTTATCTTGAACAAAAAAAGTAATGCCTTACAACAAGCCTACAAGTCAAACGAAGCATGAACAGTTGAAATACTGTCTGTGGTGAAAGGAGAAACACGTATGAAACCATGAATCTAATGAAGTTAAGTCAAATACCAAAGATTTCGCAACTTCATATTAAACCTCCAGAGCAGAAAGATCCCGCCACACGAAGCAAAGTTTACACTCATTCCATTTTAACCCAATTCCACCAGTGGAATGTACTTTCAATCATTTTAACTGAATTACACGTCTATCACCCCAGACGACGCCCAGATATACAAAACTTACTCTATCGAAAAATATACAGAAATCGGCAATACCATCTTCATGTGAATAAGAAAATAAAAGGTTTTAATTTCACTGAATAGAATCGAGTCCTTAAAATAGTTTGGGTCCTACATATCAAACAAAATACCAACTAGTTTAACTTAACTAGGGAGAAAAATGCAGAAAACAATTTTTCATAATACTAAATTTATGATGCATATGAAAACTGACAAATAATTTAGAATAGGTGTGAAAAAATAGAGAAATTTCGAGTCACTTTGAATACCATGATCCAACAACACTGGTCATCATAAATAAATCTACAATATACACCATATCGGGCAAAACTATCTTCAGGATCTCATAGTAATTTCTGAGTTGTGGCTCAAGAAGGGACAAGACACGTGAAGAAATGCTGAATGGAAGAAAACAACTTAACACCACCACAGTAAACACAAACAAAACCGCAAACCCCCAAATAAAACACTGCAGCCATCTGAACACAATGTAGATCGGTTCCAGGTCCATGAATTCTCAAGAAAGGCCGTTTCTTGAGTCAGTGTAAGTACGGTAAATGATTTCAGTTCCACCAAAGAGGACGCGCACGTGCCTTTGCAGGGAGCCAACCACACCAACAGCCCGACCAAGTTATAGTCAAACCCATTATAAATACCTGGAACAACATGCCCGAGGAATTTGGTTCAGTCAAAAATGTGAGTATTACACATACCTCAGTGGTTCTGTGGGAAGGCAATTTAGTAAGGAACATCTTCATGATGTGCACCACAACTCTCATTTACTCCCTTTAATCGTAAATTATCTTCAATCAGGAAGAAATGAGGAGGAGTTCGTGTCTTACTCTCCGCGCTCTTTTTGTGCCATTCTCCACTTGTCTACGCATGATTGGTCCTGCTGCCGTGCCAACATTTGTCTATATATTTCAGCATATATGTGTCTTACTGCAGCTGAAGTAATGCTCGTGATGTTTGAATCTCATTTCTTCCTGTCAGAACATCTTCATGATGTGCACCACAACTCTCATTTCTTCCCTTCAATTGTGAATTCTCTTCAATCAGGAAGAAATGAGATTGAAACATCACAAGCATTACTTCAGCTGCAATAAGCCGCATTTAACAATGCAACGTTTGGAGTATAAATACCCTCTTTCCAAACACAAACAAACAAAAAAAGGAAACGTACATGCCAACAAACAAGCATACGCACGCAAATATACCGTGATCAATTTAACCAGCAAAGTAATTTCAAAAAGAACTGGTTTGGTTGACATCCATTATCAGCATGCAGAAGGTGGCTACACAGATGTGACAGGGTGGGATTCTGAGATTGAAATGGTGGTGTTAAAACACTTTAGCCAGGCACCTACCCCCGTTGCAACTTCCAAGAGAAAGGTATGCTTGCCCAAGTACGTACAATAAAAGACCAGTGAACGGACAGTTATGTTTTTCTGTTTAACACCTCACTTGCAAAATTGAAAAAAAACGAAACTGCTCCCTTCTCTCCACAAAGACGAAATCTGAATCAATCTCTGAAACATGACGCCAGTGTAAAATGGAAACAGGACTGAAGTAAACTTCAAGAACAAAAAAGATACCTCAGGGTAAACAACTGGCTGCCATACTGATGAAGTCACGCTTTGTTAACAATGTGTGCTTTCTTACAGGAGCCGGGAGGAGAGGGCTGATTTGAAGCTCTGTAGGAAAGAGTGACGTCATTAGTATTTGGGACTACTGCTTACAAATTTTCATTTAAATGTAATAAGTATTAAGTGCTGCAGTAGAATCAAAGAATCAGAGTCAAGGACAAATCGACTGGGGTGGAGTTTCTGACGGGGCACCCACTGGCGCACCCATTATTTCAAGGAGGGCACAGGGAGCGACTGAACCAAAACTTGTACATAGGTGGTCTACATGTCAAATTCAAACCTGTCCCCCCCCCCACACACACACAAGCAACCCTTCTTGAGTACACCAAATATTAAGAGCTCTTAACATGCAGGAAAATAAGCCATGTGACTGAAAGCCAGGTTTTTTTTGGGGGGGGGGATAATGCATTACAATTGCAAAGCACCATGCTGGATTCGTTTGAGACTGTGTCCCATGATGTGTCCCATTTCTTAAATCTTAAATAACTTTGCACTACTTTTTTCCTTGTACTATAAATAATGAATAGGTCTTAATGGAGGGATCTCTGAGGTAACGATGCACAGTCTAGCAATCTAAACTTTGACTAATTCATGTTTTTTCCAAAACTGCAAAGGCACTTTCGGTTTGTTCTCCAAGCTTGTTGACTCACAACAAATCTCATTTTCAATCTCTCTGGACAGCAGAAGAAAGTCATCAAGTGGCTAGGCCATTGGGTTCTGCTTCATCAGGGCAATGTCGGCTGCCACCATCTCGGCCACGAGATCCTGCAACATTGAGCAAACGGTTGGATCGGGATGATATTTGAAGTACGTGCCAACAGGAAAATGAACACAACAGTTCAAAAGAGTCCTGATCGGGAACCATCCTTACAACAGTAAAGAGAATGCATTATTCCTCTAGCCTAGTGGAGGTCTCAGATATTTGGCTTTGTCACCATTTTTATTTCAGAATTCAGTTTCATAAATTTTAACTAAATGCAGCTCTATGTTTAAGCTGCGGGCATTAACCCTAACACTCCTCAATCCTTCACCTGTTGGAGGACTGAGGAGTGTTAGGGTAAACGTTTTCTCATGAGGCCAGAGTTTCTACACGTTTTCATAAGATTCCAAAGGTAAGGTAAACAAGGTAAGACAAAGATTGAGATAAAACCAAGATTTTACAAAAATAATGGCCCAAGTGTGAAGTCAGGCCTCTTATGGGTAGCCTTTCAAGCGCCATCAACAGTTCATGCGCAAAGCCAATGGAGAGCCTGCTAACACCAGGCTGCAGCTTCAAATGGGTGCATGCCTGTAACTAACTTCCACCCACTGCCGCTCCTTTCAGACATGGATCTGGTCTCACCTTGAAGAGGGTCTTGGGTTCCCATCCCATCAAGTGTTTGGCCTTGCTCGGATCCCCCTGCAGAAAATCCTACCAAAGGAAACGAAAGGAATGACAGTTCACACCCTATGAGCTGACATTCAATAACCATGACGTGCAACTGCAAATCAAATGAACCTATAAACAAAAGCAACGATAAAATACAGCCACATAATGTCCTCTCTAAAGTTTGGACCTGTTGCACTGCTCATTGTTGAAACCACAGAGAAGATTTGAATCCCCGATTTCCCAAGGCTTCTAATCTCCAAGTGAGAACTATTGCTGAATGAAGACAGTTCTCTGTGCAGAGTTAGATGAACACTGTCAAGGTATTTCCTCGTTGGAAATGAACCTCACTGTCATCATCTACTTTTGCAGTAGAGAAAAATGGGCTTTGATTTGTGAGAGCGGGGCTCGGGGAGCCAAGCTGCAATCAAACACAGAACTCGTTGTGCACTGTGCAGTCGCACACACGGAATAGTCATCACAAAATCAATCTCCTCGACACAACACATTGTTAGAACCAACCACATCGGGCTGAAACTGTAAGGTCACATGATCTCCATTGATATACATGCACATATATATTTGTTACTGTGTTGCTACATCAGACTTCATATTATACAACAAAAAATGCTCCCTCAAATTTGCAGTATGTGTGTGTAATCACCAAGGGCCATGTACATGTATGTACATATACAGCTTTAACCTTCTACACAAGAAACTCCAAAAATTACACAAGGGAGTAAACAAGAAGGCAATTCCACCACTGCCACCAGGTAGAAGGGTTGTCATTTTTTTTCATAAGTCGCTGGCCAGCTGCAAGTTTTCAGTCTGTGCCCAGGGCCTTGTGCTCCCCCGATGTTCTACACTAATTTCAAGTGCGTCCCCGGCCTCGGGCTAAACAATACCTTCCTTTGCCAGTCCAAACTCCGGGGGCTTTGACCTCCGAAGAACGGAGGACCGGGACTGGTACCCCGCCAGGCAGAATACCAGCGCGTAGCCCGGGCCAGCGTCAGAGTCTCCCCGATTATCCGTCTCCAATTCCCCCCCCTGTCCCGCGAATATATCAATCTCGTTTAAGTTCCTGGGGTCAGTGACGCAGGCAAACAAGTGCTCCAATTCGTCTTTTTCGGCTCTTGTCATTTTCTCCCTCCCTTTCCATTTAACTTTTTATCATTTGCCTTCTATTTTCTCTTTTTTTCTGCTACGTCTCAAATCGGTCTCTCACGGCAGGGTACCAAGACCAACCGTGAGTCCAACCCTGCCCTGGTTTTTTCTTTCCCCTGCTCTCGGAGGTAGTTTTGCTGTCTCTCGTCAAGAACTGCGAGACCAACCGAAGGATGGCAGGGGGGTTCGGAGTTTCGGTGACGGCAGTTCCAAGTGTATCAAGGAATTGAGGTAATTGGTGGCTTATATGACCAATCACTTAGGCAATTTGAAGGGAGTGGGCGCCCCGCAGCCAAGGGAGGAACTCCAGCCGTGAGGAGGGTTGCTGAGCTGGGGGTTATTACCAGGCGTGACATTATGCATTAACAGGGAAGAATTCCCACTTCGATCTGAGTGGACTGTGACATGCTGAGTACCGAGCACGTCACACCATATCCTTTTTTCTTCTCACCAACTTTGAAGACAATTTACCAGTTAAACATCTTTGATCAGGCAAAATGGGCTTAACTGGGGTGTGTATAGCATTGCACTTGAAAAAGAGCATCACAACTTACCTACATCAAAGTTGAGCCAAACAATCCTCATTCATAAGTGGACAAAGGCGTCATGCACAATGTGCATATTGGGCTACCAGTAGAAATGACAGAGGCTTACGTTTGGCGTCCAAAGAATATCACAATTGGAAGCCTTCCAAAAGGTGTCGGCAAAATCACAGTGTCACTTCAGAATCAAGCATGAGCCCTGTGAAATCGGTGAAACCACTGCAACCAATCAAAATGCAGCTTCCTCGTTTCGGAGACTGGACGGGCAAACACATTTATGTCTTCACGTACATCATTGGCCATCAAACAGTTAGGCAAAATGTGCAAGAACAGGCGGCACAAATTGCTGGTACCGCACAACACAACTTAATTCATGCATAAGTGTATCCAACTGTTTGGCCAGATGCCGGTGACAAGAATGCGTAACTGTTCCAGAACTTTGAAATGTTCAGGCTGGTTAGAACCACTGTACCCTTAAGTGTATCCCATTCATTTACCAATACTTTTTACTCGCCTGCCTTTAACCCTCTAAAGTCTTGTGAATTTGATCCTCAGACCTACAAACCAATTCCAAGAGGGGAAAAAAAGGAGTAGGCAGGCAAAAAAAAAAAAAAGAAAGAAGTAAAAGACCAAAAAGAAAAAAAACCTTGTGCGTTGTCAGCGGCAGCAGCAACCGTAACAGATAAACCCAACATGACATGCGGAATCGTCTCCCATTAGTACGAAATGGCCAGGCCCAGCGTGGGGCAAATAGGCAGCATGGGTGCCCTCTGATTGGCTGTGACAATTCTTGATGGGTGGCCGTGGCATGTCCCGGGAATGGGCCCCCGCAACTCTCTGAGCTAGCGAGTCTGGCACCCCGCCACTTTGGGCCATATGGTCTAGGGGCGATCTTGGCAAAACGTGAGTAGCAACACAGGCCTTTTCTTCAAGTGCATACATGTAAATGTACTTTAAGGCATGATGTACATGTACCTGAGTACAACTTGGGATTGTTAATGTCAGAAGCATTTTATTTTGAGGTTAAATACATCTTTACTTTCAGGTGGAATGTGGTTGCACATGTCATTTGAATCAACAAAGACCCCTGTCAAGATGCAAACAAATTTAATATCATCTTTAACTTCCTTGTTTTCATCATTCTGAAATTTGTTGAAAACCACCAAAAATACGCTCCTAAAACTCAGTAAAGATATTATTACCACCAGGCAACACAGAATCAAACACTTTCCCAGTGCTTTTAAAAGCATAGGCCTACACTTTGCCATGCCCTTTTTTTAAATTAAGAATTAAACAGAATTCATAACAAAACTAGATTATTGTGGTTTGAGTTAGTAGAGATTTTGGCTACTCAGATGACCTTTTAAGCCTATCATGGTCAGAATAAACATGGCAAGACAGATTTAGCAACCACCGTGTACAAGACATTACAAAATCAATGCAAGAACACACCACTTGGTTAAACGACCTGGCCCTCTCAAATCCTGATACAAAAAATAAAGGCCACCCATGACCACATGAGGTCAATGCACTCTTGACCCTCAGGGGAAAGGTGGGGAAAAAAATTCCCCACCAAAACGTGGTCCCTCCAAGCGATATTAGTCACCTTATGTCTCCCAGACACAAGAAGACTGACAAGTGCACAGGGCCATGTTTTACATGTGGAGGCTACCTTAATTAGTCTCCGGCACGTTGGACAAAAACATAATGCATGTATGTCAAATAGCCACCTCCCTGGTACAGCTCAATATAACCTGACACTAATATAGAAAAGAAGGCGCTAACATGCACCCCCCCCAAAAAAAAAAAGAGAGAGAGAGAGAAGAGAAGAAAAAGAAAGAAAGAAAGAATAGAAAGAGAAACCCCTCAACCTCTTTCCCTTTTTCCCCCTTCTTTTGAGAAATCATTGAGCTGGAAAATGGCAATTTTCATTTCCTCTCTGCCTGCAGGTCCAAAGACGGATTGAAGAGAAGCCACATCAGGGGAGGCACAAAAGGTGCAGGCATCAGTGCGGGTAGAAGGAAGGCCAAACAGCGTAATTAAAAAATCAAGCGCTACACAGGTCCAATTAATCTTGACGTACGACTGATCAATTTGTAAAGAGGCGGAAGCGTACATGACTACCGTGTGCCCGTATCCGTGGACAAAATGATTTAAAATAAAAAAAAAAAAGTATGGCTCCACAGCATGGCGTCTGTTCACATGCGGGTAGGTTGGCAAGGAGATTATTACGACATAAAGGAAGCCATTTGCATAAAAGAACAATGAGTTAGGAAGCCGACCATAGCAAACACTTAGATAGTCAAATGTTTTTCCTGTAGTTACTTTCCACACTTGATACAAAGTACACATCACTGAGAAGTTCCAACTCAGGAATTCAAGAATTCTGCCAGACACAAGCTTTTCACAGTGGAATAAGGGGGGGATTCTGTTGATACTGGGCGTTAACTGTAAGATACACTTGCACATGTTTGTCACTGCAATTTTTTTTTTTTACAGAGGCACGTGTGAAATAACTTCGAGTAATGTAGGTGCCAAATCTAACACAGATTGATTGTATTATCATTCATTGTAAACTCACGCAAAACTTGCTGATTAGCTGCCAAGAGATGCCATGTGGAATTTGTAACAAATTGTGGAGCTTGAAAGGCAGTTGGTTGTAGTTGGTTGTGCTACAGAGGACTTGGATCAATGCTGCAGAGAGTTGTCACAGAAAGGGGGGAGGGGACTATGTACACTGCACCTTCAATCTCACAATACGGTGATATCCTAGTAGCCAGGACCCCACACAATCCCTCAATAATGACACCATCATTCGTCTTTTGTCCGCTTTCTCCCCGCCGTAATTTGAAGTAATTTGATTGCCCTGACGTGTAATGAGGAATCAGCAGGGTGCGACTGAAACAAAGTCCAAGCAATGCAATAAGCCGCAGCCCTTGGTCACACACGCTCGTTATCTCCTTGGATTCATCCTCCTTGTCTCCTATTCAGAGAAAGGTGTCGAGCCAACTGGTGAAGATTGAAGAATGAAGACCACCCTGACAGACCTCAAAACCCAGACAAATTGCCCTTTTCCACTGGTCTGACAAATGACTTCTTCAAGCCCGGAATTGTGATTCCAGTAACGGGACTACCTCCCCTATCTAATCAGAACTGCGATGAAAGAATTTTTTGTCAATTTTAAGCTACTTTATTGTTTCCAAACATACCCCATACTCAAGAAATCAGTACATGTACACGCGCAAAACTTGCCCGTGTCTTCATCACCGGAACTTGCCTTTTTGGAAAACGAAAAATCCAACTTACACTTTCGCAACCTTTGCTCACAGCAGGACATCA